AACATTAAACATGTTAACAACACAAAAGCCATATTAAACACAGACTACTTTAGGCCCGGAAGTAGGATTCGTCACGTCATCACTTAACGACCGGTTATATCAGGGGTGTCAAACTCAAATACACAGTGAGCCAAAATTCAAAACTGAAACAAAGTCGTGGGCTAACGTGAATATTTATTGAAATATATTTATTCCTCCAGATATAAGAATGAATCTTATGGACTCAAACACATTTTGCTGAAAAACTGAATATGGAACAAGCAAAGCTTAATACTAAACAATATATATATTAGCTGTATAATACCAGTAGGCCAGCTCTGATAGTAATTTGGTATGGCTTCACGGGCCAAATGTAATTAGGCTACGGGCCAAATTTGGCCCGCGGGCCAGAGTTTGACACCTATGGGTTATATTATCTTTATTTGTTTTTCATTGTAAATATAGTAAAAGCTATAAAGAAACAGATTTCTTGCTTTAGAGTCAGAGTCCTCGCCAGGTGGGTGGGTGGCCTTCGGAGGACTTCTTGTAGCCACATTAGTGTTGGCTGCATTGGGAGTGATGTACTACAGAAAGAAAGGTACCTAACAGATACACAATACATTTATATAATATCTTTAAATATATAACACTTTAAAGTTATCCACTGTCATATAAAAGTGTTCACTGTCTGAAATTAAATCCTGATATGTTTGTTTTGTGTTTCAGTGAGGAACGCCCAATCAGGAAGAGACCAAATTGATGGTAAGAAAGAGCACACGACAAGTTCAAATTAATGCTCTCAGTTATATAAACATGTGTCCGGGCAGAAACTGAATCCTGACATGAATATTTTGTGTTTCAGGGAACGGCTTAAGTGGTAAGAACGTCACACTGAACAAATCATTTTTCACATCAGCTGTGGTTTTGTTATATGTGGAATAACGGGATAAAAGGATGATGCATTTGCTCGAAGATGGAGCAAAGTCAGCCTCTGACACAACCTGGATCCTACTTTTCCACATGATATCCCCCATGGAAGTGTTGTGCTTACATCATCATCATAATGTTGGTCCAGGATCAATATCGCAAGTCTCCAATCATATTGTCTGAGCACTTCATTAGCATTAGCCAAGAAGTTAGCAGATGCTTTAAAAAAAGAGTCACTAGGAAATCAGCAGGAGTAGCCTAAATTTGGCTAACAGCAAAGCTAACCTGATAATATATTTTCACAATATATTATAAATATATAAAGCATCACTGCAAAAATTAAGGAATAAAACACCCGAAATGCTTATCATGTCTTTCAGAAGAAAGTTTTATCTAAGCAAAGACAGTTTATTCTTTTCCCCCCACACTGGAAAAATTGAAATCACAACATTGTAATTGGTTGGTTGCAATCTTGATCCTGGACCTACAGTTTTATGATGATGCAGGAACAACACCAACATGGAGATATCACATACACCTCCTACATTGCAAAAGTTATAGGATTGCAGTATCCCACACTAACCCATCAATATCACTGTGGAAAGCTACACAAGACATTCTGTAATCATTTGCACAGTAATGCACTTCCATGACAAAGAAATCAGACTTGAATGAGTTCATCCATTAAAAAGAAAAATATTGATAAACTATTTGTTGTATTTCTCTACAGAGACTGAAAAACTTTTAGCAGGAGGTAAGACGTTACTAAAGCCGTCCTTGTTCTTAGAATCACTGTGACACATGAAGGTTATGTCATTAGGACATAA